CCCCCCGCCCAACGCGCCCGGTAACGGAACGCACGGCGCGCGCGCGGGCTCTCGCGAGAAACACCGCGCAGTTCTCGCTGCGGCCGCGCAGCGGCGCCGCCGCGTCTCGCGAGAGCACCGCGGCGTCTGGCGCGCGCCCCTCTTTCCCGCCCCTCGCTGTCACGCGCTCTCGCGCCGGCGCAGTGTCCCGGCACGCGCCCCTCGTGACACAACCAGCCCCGGTCACGTGACCCAGCACGCGGGAATTGCTGCCCGCGCTTCGTTTTGAGGCGAAAACCGCCAAAATCGGTGGAAAAGTCCCGCAGCCCAACACGCGAACAGCCCCCTTTAATCCCCACCGCCACCAAGCCCCACAGGTGTCTCAGAGCTGGTTCCTCGTAGGCTTTGCAGGCTTTAATGGTTTTTTCCCGCATTTTCTTCCCTCAGGGGCTGGCAGCCCCCTCAGGGGCACTTGCGCTCCACGCACTGCTTCCCGCCCTCCTCGTACTCCTGCTTGGAGATCCACATCTGCTGGAAGGTGCCCTGCGGGGAATTTGGGGCGTTTTGAGGGTTGTTGGGGAGTCCCAGGAGGGGAGGTGCCCCCGGCTCTCCCTGGAGCCCCAGACTCACGAGCGAGGCCAGGATGGAGCCCCCGATCCAGGGGCTGAAGCGCCGCTCCATGGTGCTGTTGCTGGCGATGAGCTTCAGCCGCATGCTCTGAGGGGGGGGGGTCACTGGGAGTCACTGGGGGAACAACTATGAACCACTGGTGGCAACTGGGAGCCACTGAGGGTGACTGGGAATCCGCCACAGGCAACTGGGAGTGACTGGTAATAACTGGGAGAAACCCAGAGGTCCAGTCTGGGTACCCCCACCACCCCCAAATGTCCCTCAGAGGGGTTTAGCCCTCAGAGTTTTTAGGCTCTGGGTTTTACCCCAGCTCCCCAAATCCCTGAATCTGGGGGTCTCTCCCGGGGACAGTTTGGGGTTCCCATCCGGTTCCCCCTCCCAAATTGTGAGGGTCCCTCAGGGGGTAAATCTGGGGTGTCCTCCAGCCCCTCCCAAACCCCCCGTCCCGATCTCGGGGATCCCTCACAGGGGGAGTTTTCTGGGCCAGCTCCCGGTTCAGGCGGTCGGTGAAGCCCTGCAGCAGCGTGTTCCCGCCGGTGACAATGACGCTGCCGTAGAGACCCTGGGGGGGGGACACGGGGAGGGGACCGGCAGGATTTTGGATATCCCTGCCGCTCCCCACGCCCCCCCGGAGCCCACAGCCCCGGGACGCACCGGCCGGATGTCGATGTCACACATCCCGATGCTGGTGGTGACCACGTGTCCCACGCCCAGCATGGTGTTCCCCGAGAGACCCTGAGGAAAGGGGGCATCAGGGGGTCCCAAAAACACCCCCTGAACCCTGTGCCCCCTGTGAATCCCCAGACCCCCCCAAGACCCCGAAAACCCTGCTGGGGACCCTTAAGCCTTGAGCTCGGAAGACTAAAAGAGCAGAACTTGGGGGATGGGGGTCCACTAAAGCCCCCAGGACCCCAAAACCCCTGAGCCCACTCAGACATCCCCCTAAGACCCTCAAACCTTGACGTTGGAGGGGTCAAAGAGCCCCTCAGGGATGCGGAGCCGCTCAGCCCCGTAGTCAGTGTTGTACCCGTTGGGCATCTCGTAGTGAACCGTCGGCATCTGCGCTGCCACCCTGGGGGGAAAACAGTGGATTTTGGGGTCTTCCCCACCCCAAAATTCCTCCCCAAACCACCCCAGAGTCCCAGCACTCACTGCTCGTCATAGGGAGAGTCCGAGACCTGTAGCACGGAGGCCTGGAAGTCCTGGATCACCTCCTGGGGGAAAAGGACCCCAAAAAAGGGGGTCAGGACCCCGAATCCCCCCTCAGGGGCTCCCCAAACCCCCCCTACTCACATTGCAGGTGAAGTTGTGCCAGGACTTGGACACCTGGGGCAGCTTCTCCTTCTTCTTCCAGCTTGGGGGGGCCCCTTCCCTCACCGGCTCCTGGGAAAGGGGGGGTCCCGGGGGCGTGGTCAGTCCCAAAGGGGCGTGGCTTGTGATTAATGATGCTAAAGAGGCGTGGTTAAAGGAAAGTGCTGGAGCATCCCCTGGGCTGGGGCAGCGGGAGGGGCCCAAGGGTGACGCTAATGAAAGGGTGGAGCCAAATAACAGCACTGCACAAAACAGGCGTGGTCTGAAATGGGTGGAGCTCATGTACAGGGTGAATAAGATTTGGCTGTCCCAAAAGGGGGTGGAGCTAAAGAATGAGCCCACCCCCAAATGGGAGGGATTAAGGGATGAATCCCACCCCTGGCCTCACCCACCTTGGCAGCGATCATGTAGGGGGGCACGATGTCGATGTTGAGCTCCTGGAACAGCTCCCGGCACTGCATGGAGATGAAATCCCCGGCCAGGGGCGACTTCACGATGCCTGTGGGGCGGGGCCCAGGTGAGGCTCCGCCCACCCCTCACCTGGGACAGGTGCGCGCTCACCTGGCTGTGGAGGGTGGCCCTTGCGCTTCTTCCAGGTGAGCCTTCACCTGTCCCGGGTGTGTCCCGGGTGTGTCCCGGGTGACCGTCCCCCACCCCAGGCGTGTCCCGGGTGTGTTCTCACCTGTCCCAGGTGCGTTCTCACCTTGCTGCAGGATGTACCCGTCGTGCACGGGGATGGCCGTGGTGTGGGTGGCCCCCGAGTCCAGCACCAGCCCCGTGCTGCGGCCGTTGGCGAAGCTGCGCCGGTCAAGGGTCACAACAGGGAGGGGACACCGCTGACCACTCGCCCAAAACCCCCCCGGCCACACCCAACAGCCGCTGGACACGCCGCAGGGAGGGGCTGGGGGCGCTCTGGTGACACTGGGGGTGGCACGGGGGACAATGACGGCAGGGACACCACGGGGGGGTCCCAGGGAGCGACACGGGGAGGGCACCGCGGGGGTGACACCGGGGATACGCAGTGAGCACGGCCGTCTTGCAGAGGAAGAAGGCCGGGATGTTGTAGTGCTCGAACATCAGCTCCGTCAGCTTCTCCCGCTTGGCCCTGGTGTTCCACTGCGGCGCAGGACACGTTGGGGACACCGCGGGGACACCCAGCCCCCGCCCGCCCCAGGGCTGGCACCTACCGGCGCCTCGGACATGAGCACCGGGTGCAGCCCCGGCTCCGACTTGACGTGTTTGCCGTAGGTGTGGTCCAGGATGGCCTGAAAACACTCCCAGTCCTCGACTGGGACAAATGGGGCCAGGTGACATCACGTGGCCCCTGAGATGGCCCTTTGGGGTCCCCCTGTGGCCCTGGGGGTGTCCCCACCCCTGTCCCCTTTCCCCGCAGGTGTCCCAGTGATGTCCCTGGGGTGTTCCCACGCTGTCTCCGCTGTCCCACCACATCCCCAACGTCCTTCTGTATCTCTCTGTGTCCCCCAACGTCCCTGCTGTTCCTCCTTGTCCCCAAATGTCCCCCTGCTCTCTCCCCCGCGTGTCCCCCCGTGTCCCCCACTCACTCATGCCGTTCTTGAGAGGCGACAGGACCTCCACGCCCTCGCGGGCCACGTGCAGGGCGTTGGTGTCGATGTAATAAACCTTGCCGCCCTTCTTGTCCTTGTCCCCGTCCAGCTCCAGGGACACCTCGTCCGGGGACAGCAGCCCCACCGTGGTGGGGAAATCCGCCTTGGGGACACCACGGCCTCGGTGAGGTCACCGCGGTGCGCCACGGGGATGGTGGCACTGTCACCACGCCGGGGGCGGCCGTGGGGACACCTCGGCCGTGGGGACGGCACGCAGGGGACACGGCGGCCTTGTCCGCGCGGGTGGGGGGACACGGAGGGGCCGCGGTGACACCGACCTTGGGGCAATCCTCGCCGGCATAGCCGGCCCGCACCGAGAAGGAGCCGATGTCGAACACCAGGGCCCCGACCTCATCTGGGGGAGGGGGAGAGGAACACGGTGACACCGGAACCTCGCAGGACAATGAGACCCTCCCCCCAAAAACACCCGCGGATCCCCCCCCCCCCCCGACCCCCACAAACCCCCCGCCTCATGTTGGGGGGGCAGGACGGGGACACCGGGACCCCCCGGTCACCCCCGGGGACCCCCCCATCCCCCACCCCTCCAATTCCCCGTTGCCCCCCGCCCGTGCCCCCCCACCCCCGCGGTGGCCCCGCCCCTCCCGCGGTGGCCCCGCCCCCCGCCGTGACCCCGCCCCACCGAGGCTCCTCCCCGCCCCCAGGCCCCGCCCCCAGGCCCCGCCCCCGCACCGCCGCCGTAGACGCCGCCGCTCATGGCCGCGTTCAGCACCGGGACAGCGCCGGCCGGGGGGGCGGGGCCTCGCCCGCGGCCAATCAGCGCCCGCCGTGCGGCGCGCGCGCCCATTGGCTGCGGCCGCAATGGCGCCGCTTAAAGGGGCCGCGGCCCTTTGTTAAAGAGGAGGGGGCGCGTTCCGTGGGGCGAGGCTCCGCCCCTTTGTGGGCGGGGTCTGCAGAAAAGGGGGCGCGGGTTCTCTTGAGCCCCTCCTGCAGCATCATCCCGATCCCCCCAGTCCCAACCGCGGGGCGGGAATTAACGGTTTTGTCGGATAAAAACCCCGAAAAGGCGGCTTCGGGGGCGGGGGAACGTGCGAGAGGGGCAGGGGGAAAAACCGTAAAAAGCAAACCCCAAAACCACAAAAAATGTTGCGCGGGGGGCGGGGTTTGATGTGGGCGGTGCCCGATGGGCGTGTCCCCGCGGAGGGGGCGGGGCCGCGGGGGAGGCGTGGCCTGGCAGCGGAAGCGGCGGCGGCGCGGGACGCGCGAGGTGCGGGGGGGCCCGGGGGGCGTCCGGGGGTCCCCAGGGGCTCCTGGGGGTCCCGCGGGGGCTGTCACCGTCGGTTTGCGGGGGGCCTGCGGGTGGTTACGGGGCCGGGGGGGGGTCCCTGTGGGGAATTTCGGCGTGAGGGAGGTGGTGGGGGTGGTCCCGGGGGGGGAACTCTGGGGTCCGTCCCTGACGCCCCCTCCCCATTTTCTCCCCGCAGAATGTCCTCGGGCCGCCCCGCAGCTCCGTCCCCGCCCCCGGGGGGGCTCCCCGGGCCCTCCCCCCGCCGCCGCCGCCGCCGGGGCCCGGCCCCGGGCCCGCCCCCACCCCCCGGCGCGCCCGGCAGCAATGACGTGTTCGTGACGTCACGCTCGGATTTCCGCGCGCAGCTGCGGCGCTGCCAGCGGCTGCTGGCGCCGGGCGGCGCTCCCGGGGCCGGCCCCGCTCCGCCCGGGGAGCTGCGGCTGCACGGGCTGGGCCTGGCCGTGCCCCGCACCATCAACCTGGCGCTGCAGCTGCAGGCGGGCGCGGGGGGGGCCCTGCGGCTGCACGCCAGCACCTCCTCCGTGCCCCTCCGCGCCCCCCGCGCCCGCCGCGCCGCGCCCCCCGACGGACACGAGTCCGGGGACGGCGACGGCGAGGACGGGGATCCCCCCCGGCACAACTCGGCCATTCACATCCGGCTCTGCAGGGAAGCCCCCTGTGCCTGAGGGGGGCCGGGGGGGAGTTCCCCGAGCGCCTCCCGGGGGGCTCCCCCGGTGTCCTGGCCTCCGTCACCTGCGTGGGGACACCCAAACCCGGCCACCCCCGCGGTCCCCAGGTGTGTCGCGGCCGCGGGGACCCCACATGGGGGTCTCGGGGACCCCCCGAGGGCACCAACGCCCCCCGGGGCCACCCCTGGGCGAGAGCAACTCGAAGCGGGGCCACCGGGAGCCGGAAAGGACTTGGGGACACCGAGATGCCACCGAGAGTCTGAGGCCACCGCGAGGCACCGGTGGCCTTGGGGACACTGTGACCCGACTGATGCTTTGGGGACACGCAGGATGCCACCGGTGGCTCGAGGCCACCGCGCTGCCACCGAGGTCGAGACCACGGGGCCACCACGCCGTTCCCCCCGAGCCCCTCGATGTCACCCTGAACCCCCTCCCCGCAGCAGCCTCGGGGACTCCGGGGGGACACGGGGATGTGACACCCAAATAAAGTCGGTGGCAGCAGTGACGCCTCGGGGGTCTCTGGGGGGATTTGGGGGAGGTTCGGGGGGGCGGGGCTGAGGCTTTCTCTGCGTCATCGGTGACATTTGGGGCAGGAAACCCCCAGGTGACAACGGGGGACCCAGGGGATGGGGAGGGGGCGCAGGGAGAGGGTCCGGGTGACAACGGGGGGGACCCAGGTGACAAGGAGGGACCCCAGGGGGGATACGTGGGGACGTGGGTGACGTGACAGGGGCGCAGGTGACACCGGGGACGTGCAAGGTCCACGGGGGGGCGGGGGGAGGGTGGGAAAATGAGCGGGACCCCGGTGACAAAGGGACACCCAGGTGACAAAAGGGACCGACGGGCAGCGCGGGACTGGCGGGTGAGCAGAGGGGGACTCCAGGTGACCCCCAGGTGCGCAGCCCCCGATCCCGGGGAGTCCCGGCTGCGTGGGGGAGTCCCTGCCAGGGGCACTTCCAGGTGACACGGGGGGACCCGGCGGTGTCGGTGACGTCGCTGTCGCCGTCCCCCCGCCCCCGGGTGCCCTTTGGCCCCGCTGGCGCCGGACCCGCGGCCAGGCTGTGCGGAGCCGCACGTACGGCCTGGCAGGGGGCCCGTGTCACCTCCCGGGTCCCCCGTGTCACCTCCCGTGTCACCTCCCGTGTCACCTGAGTTCCCCGGCTCCCCTCCCGACTCCCCCGTGTCCGCCGTGTCGCCTCCATCCCGTTCCGTGTCCCTCGCGTCCCCGCGTCGCCTCCCCCGTCACCCCGATCCCCTCCCGTCCGCCCGTGTCCCCCACGTCCCCCGTGTCCCCTCCGCCCGGCGTGTCCCCCCCCCTCTCCCCTCCGCGGGGGTCCCCGGGGCCGCCCCCGGGGCCGCGGTGGCGCTGGGGACGGGGACAGTGACGGCGACAGTGACGCTGCCCCATTGTTCGGCCGCTTCCGCCGGCCCGAGGGATCCCGGGATCCCCCGGCCTGGCGCGTCCCCTTGTCACCGCGCGTGTGTCACCGCGCGCGTGTCACCGCGGTCCCACGGCCCCGCGGGGGTGTCCCCGTGCCATCCCAGTGGCCGTGTCCCCTCGCCCGCAGCCACGTGTCCCCGCGTCCCTCTCCATCCCTGTCCCCACGTCCCCATCCCTGTCCCCCCATCCCGATGTCACCATCCCCGTCCTCGTCTCCACGCCCACTCTCATCCCCGTGTCCCCTCCTCTGTCCCCATCCCGGCGTCCCTGTGTCCCCCCTTCGCTGTCCCCGTCCCGCACCTCCGTGCCCGGGACGATGTCCCCGTGTCCCCCCATCCCGATGTCCCCAGCTCTGTCCCCCATCCCTGTCCCCGTATCTCCCAGTCCCCACTTCTGTCCCCCCACCCTCATCCCCGATCCCCCCCTGCACGTGCAGCTCCTGTCCCTGTGTCCCCCCCTCGTCCCCCCCTTGTCCCCCTCCGTGTCCCCCATCCCCAGCTCTCGGTGCCCAGGTCTCGTCCCTGTGTCCCCTCCGTGTCCCCCTGTTCCCACACCTCCATGCCCCTCTCATCATCTCTCTGTCACCCCCGTGTCCCCCCCGTGTCCCCCCCCCGTGTCGCCGCCGTGTCCCCCCCGTGTCCCCCCCGTCCCCCCCCCCCCTCCGCCGCCGCGGGCCGGGCCGCGGGGGGGT